ATATTGGAACTGAAAGCAAAACTGTTTTATCTGAGACGTGTCCTTGAGAAACCACCGCACACTTTAATGTCTATTACTTGAAAACGCTGGTGTTCCGCGGTTTGACTAATTGTTTATATGCTAATATAAAAAACAGCCATAATCGCTGATTGTTCATACTTCTTTGGTATTGCCTAATGAACGAGGCAATACGGATGATGGTAAGTCTAATTTTCCGAGGTCACCATTGATAGTAGATAGATACACAAACGTTACCATAATTGCTGTAATGTTTTTCATTATCTACATTGGTCTCTTTGGGTCGACTGCATGTTTTAATTTCAACCGTACAACTGACCCTCCTAGTTCTTGATACAAAATGTAATTCATAGTAACCGCAATTGCGATGTATGGCCTCAAGAGCTGAGAACGACTAAATACTACACCCAGTTTAGATTTCATAGCCTTGAGTCCGAGACTCATTGAAGTGAGACTAGCACATCTATACGAAAATAATTGAGTTTATTGTTTCGGTAAACTCCATTACGGAAATATTTCCCTGCTATATATTATCGATCACAAGAACTGTTGGTTCCGACATCAGGACATTTGAAATACAAGTGTACTCCTGTAGTGAACTACTTAGTTCGAGCTGCTGAACTAGCCCAGCTTTCTAAAAGTATTTCCAAGTCAGGCTCCGAACTTCGTATGGCAGAAACGGTGACCAATTTACTCTTTATGATTTACTCCCTGGTAGTTCACGGAGATCCGTAATCGATTTTTTAGCTCTGGAACATCGTTGAAAATATCATTGAGACAGGCGGTTAAGTAAACTAGGAGCAACACTGCAAATACAACTTAATTAAGTATTGAGTCTCTTTCGGAAAGATTCTTCAGACAACACCATTACTGACACTCCTGTAAGAGAAATTCAGAGCCAATAGATCACAACTGTTGGGAGATTTGGACTTATTAGTACTGTTTTGTTTTCTACCTGGAAGAAACATGCACCATGGTGATGTATGTCACCAATACGTATTATTTATCTATTTTAAATGAAACGATTGATGATTTAGTTAGGTTTGTTTGAATATAGATCTAGATATCCTATTTACAGTCACGCTGGTTTCTGTTCACATGAATTTCAATATTCACACACGTACATAATAATGCGCAGTGTTTATTGCTGATGATCAATACTTTCATAAGTTTGCTAGTTCACCTTTCGCAAATGGAACAATTCAGAATAACATTTTCTGCACCGAATAGTTTGTTTTATCAATGAAGTTAACTTGATTTAACTTAACTTGTGACGTCTTGTAAAAGAAAGATCGAAAACGACGCCCAACGCATAACATAGAATAGACCAACATCATACATAAAAGCATGCATATTCACCTGAGAATCAAACATGGATCAGCTTAAAGATGTTTACTTCACATCAGCACAGCAAGAGGAGAAGCTAATGATGTGGGGTACTCTAAAGTCCAAATAATAGCACTAAAGATTGTGAAAACTCAACGTAATGAATGAAGTTTGAGATTAATGAACTCAGTTGATGATTAAAAGTAACGCATGTGACACAGTGGTTCAAGTTAGTTGTCGTTTTTAAGTAAAGCCTACGTTTGCATATAAACTGTAAATGACAAATGAATTAGAAGTTATATCTATATACGTTGATGCACCTGAAGATGTTTCCCAGGTAATTGCTTATCATTTTTAAATCTAAGTAATGTGTAAAATGGCAAAAAGTGCTGTATGGTTTGCTTGAAAGTCACTTAGTCTTTATTGTTTCACGAAAATTTCCTTATATGATTTCGAAATACTTTATGTGTCATCTGCTCTTGATGTAATCTTCCAAACATGGATTGTTTTAGAACTTACTCTAGTCTGATGACGAGTTAATGCACATGAAATGTTTTGAGTGGATTATGAATTAAGCTATGCATACAAATTTCATTTTTAGAAAATTATGCACAGAAAGATTTTACTTAGAAGTTTTCGCCATAAAAGTTACCTATTGCGTCTGGGACTAGTTTGCCTTGGTTTGACGTTCGTTTTGTGGATAAACACAAATAAACTGAATCCAAATGATCTGTATACCGGTCCCGCTCAGTTGCGTTCTCGAATACTTGTGGAAAGTAATCGCACCTTGAAACTTTCAACCAGTGAACAAGTTGGGGTTTTTGAACAACCAGAAAGTCAACGTAAGTTTTGAGAGGATAACGTACTCAGTGTAAATAATTTCAGCTTGCCTCACCTTTCAAAATCCCGTTCACATTCCCCCATTGATGAAGATCCGGGTAGGTACTCTACAAAGTATGATCTGTTATGGTTTATTATCGATGCATGTTTAGTGGCTATCGAGTCAAGATTGACTATGATCACCACTAAATACTTATTACGGACCTGTCACTGGGAAAATAAGTAAATCCATGGTAAAGAATCGATTCGCTGGTTTCGAAAGATCACTGAAGTCTAATCAGAAAAGATGGGCGAATTTACAAAGCTGATAGAGCAAAAAATGGCAGTAACAAAAGCAGAAAGTTTTCGCGTAAGGAGTGTTATCAACAAAAAAGTATAGTTAAACAATCACTGATACAATTGGTTATAAGAATAAATGTTTCTAATAAACCAATCGCGTTCTCTTCATAAAGTGGATTAACTACGAATTTATACAACGGAGTGAAGACTTTTAAGTGATTTTCGTGTGTATTAATAAGGTTGTGAAATAATTTCGAATTTCAAACTATAGGACTTGACGATCACGCTAGACCTATGAGCTAGACAAACGGTAGTCAAAGAAGCCAAAAGCCTATATAAACAATCAAAACACATTTAAATCTGTGAGTGAACTGACTAGAACAGATTCTGTATGTCTTCAACACGGATTCGATTTAAAAAGTTCACAGTCAAGGTACATATGTAATTCGATGTTTTAAATCAGATAAGGAGTGATTTGCTCTGTATTCCACGCAAGAACTTCACTGAAGCATTTACTGATACAACTGTTATCGAGCCAAAAACGTTGAGTCTAAGAGAATCTGAACTGACTGCTTTTGAATGTTATCGTTTGAATCGCATTATGGAAATGTTTTTCAGGTTGTACCTTGTACAACTTTGAGCTTCTCAAAGAAATTATGACTTGCATTGAGAAAACAAATAACTACTTGTAAATTGGTGTAGAAGCTTTAGCGTTCGGGATATGAATCAGCCTCGAGAGTTAACCTATGGTGGCTGTAAATGAAATCGTTGATCTCTAATAGATGAATTTTACTGACAATCGAGACATTATGATATCGATTAACAGTTATAGATCCTTGAGAGACGAATATATATTTTTAGATGAAGATAATGAATTGATGAAGTTATTTGACCTTGGTATGCATTGTAGTATCGATAGAGATAATTTGTGTCCTTGTGAAAAACCAATATCAATTTCAATCTATATGAAGCGGGTAAAATTGAAGAGGTGTATGGTGAGACATATTCTATTAACTTCTTCCAAGAAAGTTAAATCTGTGCACTCAAACTAAAGGTTTAGTAAACATTAATCTATTTGGAAAGGCCATTAATCTGACATTGATTTTTCACTGCTTTTTTAGGTCACAATGATGATTTGGAGTCGTTGGTTATCCAAAGGATGGACAAGGATTATTTGAATGATATAAAACGAGATGTTGATTGGCCGCAAGAAAAGGACCTCCTTGTAAGACCAGATGATGAAGGTAAACATGTAATTAGAGATAATGATCAGACGTTTGTAGACAGTCGTACAACTGAGCTATCAGCTATTGCTAGGCTGGGTTTATTTCCTAGTTCTCCACCTAAAAGAAGCGACAATTACTCGAAAGGTCCAGGTGAGTGTAGTTTTTTAACTAGTGTAAAGTTGTTGTGGATTAGAGTTCTGGTGCCTGTCGCACTCAACAGTGTTTATTTAATTCTGGTTCAACATATTTTGTTCATATTATTGATTATAACTTTTCACGGTTGTTTTGTGTAGTTTTAATGTAATTTAGACATAGAATAACTATAATGTGGCTATATGGAGTTAATTCTCACAGGGTGCTAATAAACCAACCAAGATAGGTCAAATTTCAGTCAAAATATCAATAAGCCATTTTGAATTGAAGCAATTTCTGTAGTTTACTTGAAAGGAAGATACGAGATATCAGTCTATCGGATATGGGAAATCTAATTGACTAAGAGAAGTTGATGCCTTCCAAATCCATTATTCAATGACTTAATACATGCTGTTTTACATGTTATTGACCTGTTATGTGACTCCGTTTCGTGTGAACAATTAAATATGCTAATTTGAGTATTTTATTCTTGGTTGCACCCTGTCTATGCGACAGCGGTAATGCGAAGATCAATACTGTTTATTTTGGATGGGTTTGTTCCGTACATACACGTAAACCGACAGACAATAACAAGAAGCCTAAAGGCGAAACAAAATGAAGCGGAGAAAGCGAGTGGACCAATTAAATGGCATGAGGCGCAACTAAGAATGTACATTGTGCGATAAAAACCAGCTAGAAATGTAATAATCGAGGCGATTATTGCACGCACATATTCCAGTAAAAGCAACCAAAGTTATGAGCGAAAAATAGTTGTGAACAGTAACTGGATAAAAATATGTTAGTTGGTTTATCCAAAGGTTCGGACAAGCCACATCAATATAAAGCGTAAACCTTTGAATTGTGACACCGTAGTTTTAAACAGTTGTCGATCAATGCTGACGCTGAACGCAATGGGTTTAAACCTGCGTAGAATGTGATGATGAGTTGTATGACAGAAAAACAAGGCATTTATTGCTCTCTAGTTCTCATTGATTATCCCGCAGTTGTCAGTTAGTAGTCTAAGGTATCTGAGCATGTTCATTTAACACAGTTAAAGGTTATTGATTTGCATTTCTTTTCTCAATGTGTCACTCACAATTTGGATTCCATGATGTTTTACACATGTCCACTGATCAATTCAATACAACTGAATAAAGGTGAGCATGGTGAAGCATATATAGTAAATCGTGACGATTTGTCGCCATCTGAACAACTGATATTTGATAAAGGTTGGAAATACAATTATTTTAACCAGTATGCAAGTGATCGAATAAGTGTGAGACGATATTTACCGGACCATCGAGAAGGCAAGTAAGTCCATTTTGAGATTACTGCAACACTTTATATATTATTTGCTATCATGTGTACAGTCGATTGTTACAGTACCTTTGTTGTCGAGTCATTTGGATTGTGGTAATACTCAAACTGTTCAAAACGCCGTAGGTGTTAGTCTTCGTGTTAATGGGCTAGTGGAAATAGATTTCGGATGTAATTCTTTACGATTTATTCATTCGACAATAAACTGTAAGGTTTCTCGATTAACTGAGGACTAACTGTTAAATCGTATTACCAATGTTTGAATAACTGTGGTGGAACCCATCACTGTACATCAATTTCTTTGACGATGGAAAAGTATTTGACGGTGTGAACAGGACAATAAAACATGGAACCTTCTTCGAAACTAAAGAGTGTCTGTGAAGATTGTCACCATCATACGGAATTCCTCGACATCGTGTATTCGAGGCAGCTCACAGACTCATTCCTGATGAAAACCAGCACCGACAATGCTGCTTATTCTCACCGTTTCTCTTCCTGTCATTGACTTGATTATGAGGATTTTGATATCTCAGGAAAACTCTGAATACGGCGGATATCTTGTATCCAGCCAGATGATTTGAATTCTCCAGGTGACCTAGCTTTTCTATTTCACACACAATAATAAATTCAGTAGGAGACAAATAGTGAAGCGGCAGCCTCTGTAACAGTAGGACTCAACGTGCACAAAGGGTGACGCAAGTGCTTATGATACAACACCAACTAAGTCACACTTAATTGAGAAGCTCTAGATAGGGTGGAGGCGTTCAAGTACGTGGACAACATCATTGATAACCAAGGTGGATATGATTTAGATGTGAATGCACTAATTAGCAAAGCAAGTGTAATTGATGAACATCTGGAACGCAGAATAACTGTCAACCAACATCAAGTTTAAAATTTTCAACACAAACAACAAAACAGCTGATTGCACAGATGTTGAACTTTAGAGAATGACAATCATCAATAAATCGGTACAGGTGTCTGTAAACAGCTTTCTACGCAGTTGTAACCTGGACTAAGCGTATAAAATCACACAGTGTATTTTCAACGACCAAATGTTTGTTGAGCTGTAAGTCACGATATATTATCTAATCGTTCATGCGTCTGTTTTAACTTGACACTTTTATCTTGATGTGTGTTTTTATTTAAAAAATACTACTGTAGGTGTAAAGTCAACAAATATGCAAGTAATCTACCCTCAGCATCTGTGATAATTTGTTTTCATAATGAAGCTTGGTCAACATTATTGCGTTCAGTACATTCAGTGATAGATCGATCTCCACCAAATTTGTTGCGTGAAATTATACTGGTTGATGATTACTCTGATCAACGTAAGTCACATCTGTTTGTTTTGAATGCTGTCGATTCGATTTCGGTTGACTTAAATTGAGTTTATGGTGAGGTAGTTTCAAAATGATGCTGTTATCATTCGAAGAGTGCATTGTTCCATCTTCGACAGAATCTGGTGTTTATGAGATGCTGTTGATTGTGTCAATAAATACTTCGGATTTGAAATTCTCTTATGATGTGCAAAAATGATTGAACGTTTGAGTGATAGTGAACGATTGCTATTTATTGACTTGCAGTATTGATTCATGTAAAGAAAAGATTCAAAAGGAAGACAGAGGAGAAAACACTGTGTTATGTGAACCGGTTTCAATTCGCGTTTGACTTGTCTCTCAATTACCATTTCTTGATTACATCACTTCAGTTTTCTTCTGATGTGCATCAGACTGTGATTCTTTTAAAAATGTTACTCCTTGACACCATACATGACATTTTCTCTGTTGGTGAGTAATGTTTTGAAAAACTTAGGAATACTGAATTTGTCACTCGAATTTCAACTTGCTGTTTATGACTGTATACTTCGTTTTTGAGGGCGAACATTTTGTCGGATAGTTTCTTCAAATTTTCACTGTTTTACTTCAGGTTTGCAATGTGTGCATAGATTGATAAGTGAGTATTTACTGATGTCATGTTTGTGTCGTTGTTGGCACTGATCGAGGGTTGTAATATAAGTTGCAACAAGGTTACCAATCTAAGCATCGCGTAATCAGGTCCATTCAAGTTTCAGCCATAAACCTGGATTTTGTGAATCTTATTTGTGATCATTAATCAACAATTCACATTAGCTGTTAAAGTTCACGCTGTTTTCCTTGTGTTAAAAATGTGAACTACTTTTTATTTGATTGTTTTACTGAATCAACTTTATAACAACACTGTTCTCATATATTAGCTCATCTCAAAGAAGCATTGGAAGAATATATGGCAATGTTAAAAGTTGTCAAAATTGTTCGTACTAAACAACGTGAAGGATTGATTAGAGCAAGAATGATTGGTACCGAACATAGTACTGGGAAAGTTCTGGTGTTTCTTGATTCACATATTGAATGTACCACAGGTGAGTTTGATATTACCTCAACACTTGTTCTGTATACGAATATTTCATAATATCGTTTGAAGTTGTTCCTCAATTGTCAAATTCCGATTTACATATGGTAACAATCATTTGTACACTGAAATGTTTACGCACTCCTAATTCAATTATTACTGAGAGAAACTGATTAATTATTTTTGGTGCTGAGTAGTTGATCAGATGTAGAAATTTTCTCTATGCAGGCATCTATTTATTGGTAATTCACTGGAAAGGTTGTAGTCTTGAGAAATATATTAAACAATCTTTACTGCTTTAACTCCGCGTCACGAGACAAGCCCTCACATGGAACCCTGAAGGCAAAAGGAAAAGAGGAAGGCCAAAGAATACATTACGCCGAGAAATAGAGAAAGATATGAGAGGAATGAACAAACATTGGACAGAACTGGAGAAAGAAGCCCAGGACAGAGTTGGTTGGAGAAAACTGGTGGGCGGCCTATGCTCCATTGGGGGTAACAGGCGTAAGTAAGTAAGTAAGTTTACTGCTTTGCATTAGGTATGTGCATTGAAATTTCTTCACATTGGTTAGCTTAATTAACATGAAATGACTATTTTCTTCTGTTTCACTATTTAATAATTTTATTTTAATGATAAGTGAAATTATTGTGATACGGAATTTTGACCTAATTTATATTAAATTTGATTATTCTTCTGGTGATATATCTCTAGGTATGTATTAGTATGAATGAAATTCTAAGCTAACTGTTAATTATTCACAGTATTGATTGAGTGTTGTTGATGAACTGTGTTTCTTTTTATGGCATACTTTTATTAGCTTTTCTCAATAGAATATTTGTGGTGTTTATGTTTATGTTCAATATATTTAACAAAAAAAACAACTTTTTATAATTTATCAATGAATTTAAATGTTAGTGGATGAAACAATCAGTAATTGTTAAATGAGTTGGAGATTGTTACTCTGCTCACTAGATAAATTCTGTTTATATGTCATAACTTGACAATGAATAGGAACACGTCATTGATATGCTTGAACTAGTACGAGTTTACCTTAGTCAATAAATGAGAGCGCGGATCGAAGATCCGGCGACACGACATGCTACTCTAATCTGAGTGTCCCAACCCCCATTGGGTGAAAGAAGAAAACTTGATATGAAGTAGAACCTGTATTTTGCAAGTATCCAGAAAGTCCAGAAGAAAATCATTATCTCGGACTAGGCATCCGAGTCCGGATCATAAAACGTCTCAGATAATTCGTATTCACACAGTTATGTCGAATTGGAAACAACATTGAAGTTTATCACACTGACGACCAATCGGAAAGAACATTGAAGTACATGACATTGATATCTAGGACAACCATAACGTTGACCAGTAAGAATTGACCAATAGAATCAAAATTCCAAAACTAATTCTCTTAGGATATTTGATGAATATCCTAACAGAATATATATTCAGTCTACTTTATAAGTAATATATAAATTAGGCTTTAGGTGGAAATTCCTAAAATTACAAGATTTCTTTATGATCGCTGGAACATGTCATTGTATGTAGAATGATTCAAGCTGTCAGTGAGAAGCATTAAAATGGAACTTCAGTCAATACAATGAACGTTCCAAATTGGATTAGGGAAAATTTAAAAAGAATCTGCTTTGAATTCACAATTGATCCTCTTCGTTTAGAAAACTTTTTTACTGGCTTTACGGTTTTATATGCCCTGATTTTCATGTTTAGACTATTATGCAGATGAGTTTATAGGGACATTCCTAACATCCAGTCTCATTGTTCAAAGTGATATTCTGATTTTGTGTAGTGATATCTAGTTACATTATTGTCCAATGGTTTCTATCACTTTTTGAGGCAAGAAAATGGTTTTAAACGTTGTTTTATGAATAGTGTTGAAAATTTAAGAAGTCCCAGTGATTTATCGAGGTAAAGAACTAAAAATGTTGCCTCAGCTTCACCAATTTTCATTCCGATGGTGTTTCATAAAACCTCAAAGTGTACCTTAAGTCTCAGAGGAAATTTCTCTTTCCACTGTTGTATAGTACCTGTTATCTCAAAACTAGAGATAAATCTACGAATATCAATCGGACAGACAAACCGCTGTGTTAAGCTGTTGTCGAATTCTTTATTGTAGCTAGTTAAGCATGATTGTTCATTTTGAAACTTTTGTTATGATTAGTTTGTTGTAAATTACATTTTTACTTGAAGCCATATATTCCGTTCTTTAACAAACTGTCACCATTTATTTTGGCATACAAAGCAGCATTAATTGTCCAAACGACATTGATTTATAAATTGATGTTTGATAGTGAAAATATAATGTGATCGATCATTGCGTATGGAAAAACCGGCACAGATTACTACTGACCACTTGCTAATGTATGACTTCCTCTGGTGTTTTTTTGATTTCTAATTCGAACCAACCAACTGAGTGTGATTGTTTGTAATTATGTGGAATAAAATATTGTCTATCACATACTCACTCCAGTTGTCTATTTTGTTCGTGACTTGAGTACTTAGTTTAACATGATCTAGTCTCTGTGTAGTGTGCTGTTCGAGCACCTGATTTATATATATATATATATATATATATATA